GACCCTGGAAGCAGAGCAGGTGCAGGTGGGTGGAGCTAGGGACCTGGGTTTGATCCTAAGGCTGTGTCTAGGAAGCATAGGACCGATACTGGTACTGAACCCAAAAGAGATAACTAAATTCAGAATAGTAAGTGAGATGACCTGGGGAGGATGGGCAAGGGGGCGGTGCAGGGAGAAGAGGGGTCAGTTTAACTCTGAGGAGCCATGGCAACAGCAGGACCTAGGGGCAGAGTGGCCAGAGATTCTGGGCTTGGACAGTCAGAAGCACGAAGCCAAAGCTTATCCTCCTTCAGACCCTGAAGGCATCTGGCCTTGAATCTCCCTCTCCCAGCCAAGGAGCATACCCTGGGTTTAGACTGTGCCCAGATAAAAGCTTTTCCTTTCCCTGTATCCTACATCCCTCTGAGCAAAGCCAAGTTCTCCCTTCCAAGCATGACACTGCATGTCTTTAATTCCAATGCTTAAGGAGCTGAGACAGGAGAATTGCCACAAGCTCAAAGTTGCAACCAGGCAAGCCAGAGCTACACAGTTAAGATCCTGTGAGTTGAGCGAGCGAGCGAGCGAGCGAGTGAGTGAGTGAGTGAGTGAGTGAATGAATGAATGCCAAGTTCTCCCAGGCTCAGCTCAGGCAGCCCCTCACCTACATGAAGACTGCCCAGCCCATGCCTGCTGTCTTGCTACCGGTCACCCTGTCTTTGAATCTCGGGTCTTTCTCTTGATGACTGTGGGGCTGTGGTCAAATAACCTCACTTCCCTCATCTATACCATGGAGACGATGATCATCTTCCCCTCACTGGTGAAAATGAGTTTGTAAAGTGCTTAGCAGAGAAACCCTAGGGTAAACACCACCTAAGCCTTTCTGTGACTAATGCCCCATTCACCTTTGGACAGAAAATCAGGGCCCCCACCTTTGATGGCCTCCCGCTCAGGAGCTATTTTCAAGACTGTCCCCTCTCTCTGGATTATGAACTAGATAATACGAAAAGCCCCGTGCTAAATGAAAGCCCAGGCCCTTGTTCAAAACAATTCTTTCCAGACAGTGGCGGCGGAAAATTAAAGCGTGGAGTCCCACTAAGCACAGGGTTCTGCCCCTACTTGGAGCCAGCCTCCCGTGCTAGCCCTCACATGAGGTAGGAAAAAGGCCACCTGGTATAGGGCCTTACAATCTCCAGCTAGAATTTCCCTTTCGTCTTCCCATTTTATAGTTGACGACATTCCAGTTTAGACACGGGCATGCTCTGCTCATGAACTGCCGAGTTAGGATTTGAACACAGAACTGGCTAGTATCAACGCTCTACATCTCGGCCCTCTGGCTCCCCCAGAGGCTGGGAAAACCTGGCCCCAAAGGCAGAGCTCAGTCAACAGGGCTGAGATGTGGCTTAGCCCACAGAGAGGGATCTGAAGCCGCCTCCTCCTGAGAAGAGCCACATAAACAAGGTCTCCCTGGGTACCATCTCTGCTGCTCCTCAAGGGAAGGGCTAAGAGAGGGCAAAAGGTCACTCCTAAGGAGGCTCCCTTGTGGCCCACAGGCCGCAGCACACATACCTGGAAGTCTGATCCTGTCTCCTCTCCTTAAAACCTTTTAGGGGTTGCCACTGGCTTCAGAATAAGCCTTCACATCTCTGGTATATGGCTAACCCAGGGTTGTGGAGCTTGGCTGTCCCCTAGCCTGCCACATACCCCTCAGCTATATCACCAGGATGTTCCCATGCCACCAGGGGCCCTAAACACTGTTCTCTCCCTTGTCCTCCTTGCTTCTCTGCCTCCTTGACTACTTGGCATCCTCCATGTCTCGGCTAAGAGGTCACTCTCTCTGGAAGCCCTTCCTGAACCCCAGAAGGTAGGGGAGCAACCTGCAGTGATAGGTCTGTGAACCCTTACTTTCAACACACGTCACATATGTAATCACCTGCTCTAGACCATGACCCTCCTAGAGAGCGGGATCCACGGTTCCCAGAGCTTGCTGTACCAGTGGTACTCAGTGACTGACTGCCCTCCTGCAACAGAGGCAAGAGGACCCTCCCTCCCTGCTCCCACTCCTCGCCTGCCCCCTTTTCTTGTTTCTCATGCAATGGCCTTGAATGGTGTCTTGGGTTTCTGTTTTGTTTTTGAGACAGGGTCTCATGGAGCCCAGGCTAGCCTCAAACTTGTTATATAGCTCAGGCTAGCCTTGAGTTCCTGATCTACTACTTGCCATCAACTGGGATTACAGAGTATACTATCACATTCAGCTTTTATTCGGCTATCTTGAGCTCAAAGTGTGAGGAGTCCAAACTTGCAAGGGATGAGAATCATCAGAGAAGGTCCCACCTGCCCTAGGCTGCCTGCATATGCCAGTACCACACTTAATCAGCAGCACCTTCTAGGCAGGTGGGCCAGTTTGGATACAAAGGATACCTGGTTTGGGCTTGGGTTTTTGAAATAAGGTCTCATCCTGTACTCTGACTGGCCTGGAACTTGCTATGTAGACTAGGCTTGCAATAATTCTACTGACTCTGCCTTCCCAAGTGCAAGGTATACAGGCAGGAAACACCACGCCTGACAATCACTCCTGCTTTCTAGAGCCAACAAAGGCAAAGGAGTCGAGATGGACACCTGTAGTAATAATCACAGGTGTAGGACATGAACCGTGCACTGTCTGATACCCCAGTACCTTGTCTCCTCTCTGCCACTGACCCCACAGCCTTGTGACTCACTGCTCACAACCAATCCATCTCACCCACAGAGCACATCCCAGCCCATGGAGCACCTATGTCCGGTCACGGACATCTCTGTGGAACACAGCCCCATCATGAAAAGAGACCAGTGACCAAGTCATCTGTACCCACTGTGAAAGAAATACCCCCACGTCAGCCAAACACATATGGGGGTATTTCTTCTCAGCAAAATGTTGCTGAAGGAGATACAATCTTGCACCCCCAAGTCAGCAGAATGCTAGCGGGCAGAGCCACCGCCAGAGTCAGCAAAAGGCTGTGTGAGAGGCACTTCCCTACACCCCCTGTAGGGACTCACGACAAGACGGGGGACATAGAAAAGCCTTCTAAAGTAGGGTTCCTAGGGTCAGAGAGCCCCGGGGTGGCTGTTGCCTGTGTGGGGGAGGGAGGTTTCAGCTGGGGAGTGGGGCACACTCAGGTGAGAGTTCTCACATGGCACTAATGAAATCAACCACCAGCCTACCCCCCCTCCCCTGGGACCCTCCAGGCTCCAGCTGATGCAATGCCCAGCCTGATAATTGTTTTCTTCACTCCTTAAAGGGCCAGCTACTACTATGACTATGGACAGACATCACCCAGACCCCTGACAGCCCCCCAAAGAGCTCAGCTCAGGGAGAGGAGGGGCCCAGAGAGCCAGCAGTGTCAGGCCTGGGCTCCGAAGAGTAAAACCCAATCCATGTCCAGATACTATGAGTGGCAAGGAGCGAGAGAGAACAGTTAAGACGGTAACACCGACCGCATCCCCTGGAGGAAGGGAACAAGGTCCCTGCTGAGTCCTCAGCTCCTGGCTCCAGCACGCCTGCCCCAGCAAGTACTTGGCACAGTGTTGCTTCTAGTTCAGCAGTTAGTCCCTGAGCTGATGAGGGCTAGACACGGGGGTAAGCTGCTCAAACCTATCACCGTATTTACCCCTCCTAAAACGTAGGTCTGTTTTGCTGGAAGAGGCTCAGAGAAGGCAAGTGATTTCTTTAATATCACATTGCCAGAAAGTATCAGAGCCAGGGTTTGAAGACAGAAAGTATCAGAGCCAGGGTTTGAAGACAGAAAGTATCAGAGCCAGGGTTTGAAGACAAGTTTAATCAGCTCTGGCTGGGCTTTAACCCTTGTAAATGGCCAGATGTCTGCAGAACTCTAGGGAGTCCCTGAATACCTGGTTTAAGCACAAGTTGTATGGACCCCTCCCCAGCAGCCCCCTGTCCAGAGACTGTCCCCATTAGGCTACCCTCTTCACTTGCCTGTAGGGCCAGTTGCCAGCTGCGTGATTGTGATTATGGACTAATTGGTGGCTGGAAGCAACTGTGGAAATGGTTTGTTAACCCCTTAGGGGAAGACCCTCTTTCCACCATTCAGGCCCCAAAGCCAAGTAAGAAATCATCACCAGCAGAGAACAGGGCAATAGGAAAAGCAGCAGCCGAGTCCTCACTGACAGACCTCACCCTTAGAGACAGGGCTGGACACAACCATTCCCCCAGGCCCAAGCCCTGGAGGCCCGTGGTGGCATTGCCAGCTAGAGCCCCTTGTTTCTCTGGCCTTAGGTATAGCGTTTCTCACCTCAGCCTGGGACCACAAGGGCTATGAACGCTTCCTGAGCTTCTGAGGCGCTAGGAGGAGACCCACTCCTTGAGGATGGGTTGTTCAAAGGTGATAGGGGCCTGGAATCCAGGCAGCCAGGAGGCCAGCCAGGGGGACCTATCCTCCCAAACGAACAAGAAGATGCCAGAATGGCCCATGAAGGGTCTTGCCAAGCTTCTCTGAAGCCCTGGGCAACCCTTCATTCCCCTGACCACTTTTCCCCAGCTTCCCAGAAGCCCCCTCTTCCCACCCTGAGGCTGCGTGAGCACCACCTCTCTCCTTTCCTGAGGAGGGGGGTGTTTTCTCTGGGTACAATGGTGTCACGTCGGGAGGAAAAAGTGGCCGCTTCCCAACCAGGGCACAGGCAGGAGGGAGAAAGGCAGGCTGCCTTTCCAGGAGGGATTTTAAGCACTTTCCAAAAAATTGCCATGCGAAGCAATGCTGTTGGAGACCAGGGCCCCAGGTGAGCCCTGAGCGTCAGCAAAGTACTCCAGATTCTGGGGTTCCTACCCCATTTTCCAGGCTTCCCCAGGCTCAGCCCCCGCCCCACAGTCATCCCAGGTAGTGCGCATCGCGGGCCCCCGCCCCCCAGACCTGGCACACATCCCTACGTAGCGCTCGGCGGCCGGCCGGAACCCCCCTCCCCGGCGTGGTCCCCTGACCGCAGCCCCCTCCCCACGCCCACTCGCAGGCGCGCAAGGCCTGCTGACTTACCCCGAGGTGGGGCCGGGGTCCACGCCGGGAGCGGGGCTCCGCTGGCGGAGTGGCTCCGCAAGGCGAGGCAGGTGCTGCCCCGGGACCCCGCCCCGCGGACCCGGCGGTAGGCGCGGCCCGGCTCCCGGCGGGCGCGGACTCCGAAGGGGTAGGGACGCGGGGCGGGGACGGGCAGCGACAGAGACTCACGGGGGCATCGCCCGCCACCGGGCCGGACAGCTCCGCTTCGCCCGCCTGCGCTGCTGGCTCCGCAGCCGCCACAGTTCTCAGTCGCCGCCGGGTGCAAAGCCAGAGCCACGGCTGGCGGGAGGCGAAGAGGGCCCTGCCAGGGGCGGGGCCTCAGGTTGGTGGGAGGGGTTAGCGAACGGGGCGGTGCCTGGTGGGCGTGGTCTTATGGTGGGCGGGGCCTTGGGAATCAGGACCTTCTAGGACTATCCATGCTGAGTAGGCCTGGAAGGGGTGAACCTCTAAGAAGCTGGGGCCACAAAAGTAGTTCCCTGTGCCTAAGATGCCCCTCCTGTCCTCTGCCTGTCCACTCCTCTCACCCTTCTTTGTCTTTGACGGTACCTCCCAGGTGCCCCTATCTACTCTGAACCAGATCCAGGAATGTCAGATGGTGAGGAATGAGGCTAAGCAACTTACAAACAGAGTCCATTCTAAAGACCAGTATTTAAAAAGAAAAAAAAAAGGAAGCTCAGAGAGGAGGAAGGACTTGCTCAAGTGCCTGCTGTGGCAGACTTTCTGGTGCTAGAGAGAGAGAGATCAGCAGTTAAGAGAGCCTACTGCTCTTGAAGGGGATCAGAGTTCAGTTCCCAACACCCACATCAGACAACTCACAACCACCTTTAACTCCAGCTCCAAGGGATCTGATGCCCTCTTCTGGCAACTGCAGGCACTAGCACACATGTACACACACACACACACACACAAATTAAAAATAAGTATTTTTTAAAAGGACTTCCCAATGTCCTTTTGGACTTAAAGGAAGGGGCTAGAGTATCTATCAGTCCTTGTGACCCATGGTAACTCTCTCCCCACCTGTGGCAGTGATTTTAACTTGTATGGTTTTGTCCTGAGGTTTTTTTTTTTTTTTTACAATATCTGGGGTTATTTTTATTTTTAAGTTTCCAGAATCATGAGGGGCTTTCTTGATGGTTTCTGTTAAGAAAAAACCCTGGAATTGTACTAGGCAGTCCTGACACCAAGAGTTCTGAGACCCAAAGTATCTCTCTCTCTCTCTCTCTCTCTCTCTCTCTCTCTCTCTCTGTGTGCATGTATAATATTACATTTATATTATATGCACATATATTATATTATATATTATACACACACACGTATATAGATGGGGATATTAGAACGGCTTACAAGCTGTGGTTGAGCTAGTCCAACAATGGCTGTCTACCAACAGAAAGTTCAAGAATCCAGTAGGTTGTTCAGTCCAGGAGGCTAGATGTCTCATCTGGTCTTCAGTATATATCCAAATCCTGAAGAAGTAGGCTCTAATGCCAGTGAAGGAATTGACTTGCTTGGGAGAGTGAGGGCAAGCAGGCAAAGAGAGCAAGCTTCCTTCATCCATGTCCTTTATATAGGCTGCCATCAACAGCAGGTCTTCTCACCCCAGAAGATCCAGATTAAAAGTGGGTCTGCTGGGTGTGGTGGCACACACCTTTAATCCCACTATGTGGGAGGCAGAGACCGGCAGATCTCTGAGCTTGAGGCCAGCCTGGTCTACTGACTGAGTTCCACAACAGGCCAAGCTACACAGAGAAGCCCTGTCAGAAAAAAAAAAAAATGGGTCTTCTCACTTCACATGATTTAATTAAGAAAGGTGTACCCAGACACTTGGGCTTTGGCATCTGCCTGAATGAACTTCAGGTAGATGTCCTGATTTAAGACTCAGCAGTGTTGAGCGGTGGTGGCGCACGCCTTTAAGCCCAGCACTTGGGAGGCAGAGGCAGGAGGATCTCTGTAAGTTTGAGGCCAGCCTGGGCTACCAAGTGAGTTCCAGGGTAGGCTCCAAAGCTACACAGAGAAACCCAGTCTCGAAAAACCAAAAAAAAAAAAAAAAAAGACTCAGCAGCTGAGGACTTGAGGATAACCTCTCCTAGGATCCTGCCTGCTCCCACCTTGCTGTGCTTAAGTGAGTTTAGGACTGGCCATCTCTGCTCTCAGCCTGGAAGGTTTATTTTGTTGTTGTTTTGTTTTTGTTTTTTTTTTTCCTCTGAGACAGGGTTTCTCTGTGTAGCCTTGGCTGTCCTGGATCTCACTCTGCTACTGCTGGAAGGTTCTTAATTTCACAAAATATGAATGATGAGTGGGAAGCTGGAAAGAACTAGGGAAATGACTCAGATAAAGGGCCGCCCTCATCCTATTTCATACCTTCTCCACATGGTAAACTGAGGCCCAGCAATGTAAAAAGCCCAAATCTGGGTCCCTCAGGTTGTCAACTGAGATTTATGATTTTAGTTGTTTATTAATGATAATGTTGTTACCATCTAATCTAGGCCTAGAACTAGAGCCTGTATGGTAGGCTGCCTGTTCCGGAGCAAGCAATGGAATTAGATTAAAGTAGGCAATGTGAAGGCCAGGGAAGTATCTGGAACAAATGATGGAGGTGAAAGACAGTGAATGCACAGCTATGAAGGTCAGAATACTTGAGGGGAGCCATGCTTCCTCTCTGCCCTCTATCTCAGGGACCTGTAAGTCGGGAGCTGCTGTTGGCATCATGGTCTCTTTGCCTGTCGCTGAAAACTTTGGACCTCCTTTCTAAAGAAGCATGCAAATGTACATTTTGTGTATAATTCTGGGTCCTTCTACATATATGCTTCCAGAAGATTGAGGTGCGTTGACTCTTCAGTGCAAGTAGAAGAATAAGTACACAGAATTTACAAATAAGATTAAATTATATTAAGAACATGTTATAAAGTCTATGTTGCTAACACAGTATGGCAGCGAAGCAGGACTGGACAGATCCCTGAAGTAAAATGGAGTACAGAAATGGACCCATTGAAGACTACAGCTCACAAAGAAATTGAGTATTTCATGACTGCCTAGAAGAGAGAAGCTTGAGGTCTCCAAACACAAAGTAATGATAAGGAGAGGGAGGTGTTAATCACCCTGACTTGCTCAGTACATATTGTACACATGTACTGAACTAGCACACTGTCCTACATAAATAAATACAATTAATGTCTGTTAACAAAATGTTTTTAATGTTTAATGGAGAGGGAAATGCTAACTACCCTAATTTGATCACTGCGCACTGTTTACATGTATTGAATTATGACTCTACACAAATCTGTACAATAACTAAATGAAAGAAATAGGCTTAGCCACACTGGGGAATTCCGTGAAGCTAGTGATTCAGATAAACTGGAGGGGGGGTGCTGGGGGGGGGCTGGACATGGTGGGTGATGCCTGTAATCCTAGCACTGGAGAAGCTGAGAGGAAAGGATCAAAAGTTGGAGGGTAGCCTGGGCTACATAGGAAGACCTGTCTCAAAAAGTGATGATGAGGAAATAGAGAAAAAAAAAATAGTCCTTCCATCAACTGGGTGGAAGGACTGGCTAGTCATTTGGGGAAACAGAATCAAGCCACGTCTTACACAGACAGGCAAATAAACTCCAGGTGGATCACATATTCAAATAATAGCAGCATATGTATAATACACCTGAAAAAAAAAAAGGGCGAATATTTTGATCATCTGGAGACCAAAGACTTTTTCTAAGCTGAGAAACCCCATAACAGAAAACACTGAGATGTTCCATATTCTTTCTCACCAAAGAAGTGACCTTAATATCAAGTTTGAAAGATAAATCACGAACTGGAGGAAATAAATGCCCTTAACTCTGCTCCTCTGGCCTGCTGTCTGCTCTTCCAAGCTTAGGGGGAATACACAAGGAGGGCCTGTGAGAGTCCAGACCAGGCACAGCACATTATGGAGACTCTTCCTAAGGCATCCCGGCCAGCGCCCACCTGTTCTAGGACTGGGAAGCCCCGGAAAACCCAGCTCGGCCATCTGTGTCCTCAGCAGGTGATAAGGTTGAGCCAGAGTCCGCCCGCAGGCTGCTCACCATTTCCCTCGTGTGGCTATTCTGGGAACTGCACATTTCAGTTCAAGCTACTTCACATCGTTCTTCTGTCCTTTCTTTCTCCTTGTTCTTCTTCTTCTTCTTCTTTTTTTTGTTTTTGTTTTTTTTCAAGACAGGGTTTCTCCATGTAGCCCTGGGTATCCTGGAACTCTCTCTGTAGACCAGGCTGGCCTCAAACTCACAGAGAACTGCTTGTCTCTGCCTCCCAAATGCTAGGATTAAAGGTGTGAGCTACCTCGCTCAGCCCAAGAAGCTTTTTCTTAAAAAATAACAGCTTTTTCCCTTAAAAGAGGGAACCATTGCCTCTTACCTGGTTGCTATGTTTATTTGTTTGTGCATGTGGGTATGTGTGCACACATCTGTGGCAGTCAGAGGACACCCTTAATAAGTCAATTTTCTCTTTTCATCTTTGTGTAAGCTCCAGGGATTGAACTCACGTGATCAGGTCTATGGATCAAGCACCTTTACCTGCTGAATCATCTCTTGGACCCCATGGTTTCATTCTTTAAAAGAAAAAATCATTGCACGTGCGCACATGCGCGCATATGTGTGTGTGTGTGTGTGTGTGTGTGTGTGTGTGTGTGTGTCAGTCTGTCTGTCTGTCTGTCTCTCTCTCTGTGTGTATCTGTGTGTAGGGGGGGTGTGTCAAAAGATGTTAGTTTTCTCCTACTGGGGATCAAACTCAGGTCAGACTTGGCTGCCAGTGCCCTTACTCCCTGAGACCTTTTACTGGTCTCAGGGAGTAAGTGACCTCCAAACCTCTGTATGGCAGTAGCTGGGTCCCCAGCACAGCACTGATGAGGACTGGGGAAACTCTAATTAGCTGATGTCTGGTAGGAGGTCTGTAGGCCACTGGGAGCCCTGACCGCCAAGGGGCTCACAGGACTCCTCCACACCCTTTGTCTCTTCTCCCTGCTGGCTGTGAAATAGCAGTTTTGCTGCACCATGTAGCCCGTGATGTACCTCCATAGGCCAGTTGACCATGGACTAAAACTGAGGCAAAATGAGAGTTTTTAATTTTTAGAGTTATTATTTGTGTGTGTGTTGTTGTGCACGCGCCACAAGTGCTTGGAAGTCAAAGGACACCTTTCAGGGACCAGTTCTCTCTTCATCGTGGGCTCCGAGAATCCTACCAGAGACCCTGCCTCAAAAACAAACAACCCAAAAACAAGGGGGTGGGGCTGAAGAGATAGATTGGCAGTTAAAAGCACTT